TTTGTATTTGTTTTTACTATACAAAAAAAATTAAATTAAAAAAAAAATAGTTCTAAATTATAAAAAACAATTTAATCCTTTCTTCCATTTTTTTCACATTTAAAACGTTTTTTTACCATTTTTGGAATAACTATAATGGGATCATCACCACAAACACCACAAAACTTGGATCAAATACAATATATTCGATCAATTGCACATAACGAACTTTGTTTTAAAGCAAATACCACACTTTTACTCCAAAAAAAAAAAAAAAAATTTCCTTTTTTATATTCCTTGATCGTGATTTGCAATTAATTTTCTCTTTTTTTTATCTATTCATTTTTAAGAAAAAAAAAAAATACAAACCATCAGTGGTAAGTTGAAATTTGTTCAAAGTGCATTGTTAAGCACATAAAATAATAATAAAATAAATTTTCTATTTCTTTTTTTAATTATTAAAAAAAAATTTAAAAAAAAAAAAATTTTCTATTTTTTTTTTTTTTTTGAAAATTCCCGCAAAACGCAATATTTAAAGAAACGCGACGGTAAATTGTGATAGGGGTCGACGCGAAACGGGCGTCGCGACGTCCGACCACCGACTAAACTGAAAGTCGACGTCGCGACGATGAAACGTCGACGCCAAAGTGTAAAGAGGGGAAGGTCGAATATACACTATACCCGAAGAGCTCATCGATCTTTTGCGATATAGAGACGCACCCAATGGGATAAGTGCATCTGCTTCAATGATCGGTACATATATTTTCTGATTATTATCATATAAAATATGTTTAGGAAAAAGTTTCTTTTTCATTTTTTTGCAAAAAAAAAAATTTATCATTATATCGCGAAAAAAAGTCCATTTGAAAAGCCCGACACAATAATGTAACGTTCAATTTTAAAAAAGAAATATATAAAGGATCATTTTTTCCACTTTTATATGAGAGAAAGAAAACTTGGATTTTTTTTTTTAACTAAACCCAATTTTTATAAATGATTTTTTAAATTTTTTTTATAAAATTTTTATAAATTTTTTATAAATTTTGTTTACTGTGTATTTTATTTGAGTTTTGGAAATTTTTTTTAGGAAAATTGAAGATTTTCTTATGAGTCAGTGGTAAAAGTAAATTTTAGTCAGACAACGGTGTTTTTGACGATTAGTGGTAAAAGTATCGTTTAGTCAGTCGGGGCGATTTTTATTTTTTTCGTTAGGACTAAAAAGAATAATAAATGTTAAATAATAAATAATAAATTAAATAAGTATAAAAAATACGTAAAACTAAATAAATAAATAAAATAAAAAATTAATTAATTAATAAAATAGGACTATGAATAAATAATAAAATAAATAAAGTAAATATTAATAAATAATAACAATAATAAAATTCACGTTTTGTCTGATATAGAAATATTAAGATTATTTTTATTTTGAAAATGTAGTAATAGTAATTTTTAGTTAGACAAAACTGGATTTTTGGATTTTTTTTTTTTATTGTAACTAGGAAAATAGTTGTAAACTATATACATATATATATATATATATATATATATATATATATATATATATTATTTCGATGTAAAATTTTCTCCTGTAGAAAAATTTAATACAAACAATAATTTTGAACAAATGAATTTTGAACGGAAAATGGTCAATTGAATTTATTTCCTTTTTGAATTTCAGAACATCAAAGGCCGAAAGGAACTTTCATTGAAGTTATTCAGATATGTTGGTACGTAATAAAATGCACATTAAATATATTCTACTATAAATTTATTATATATATATAAATATAATAATATTAGAAGAGTTCCCTATGTAGAAATTCCGCTATTAAAATTTCAATTTTCAACTCAGAATTTCATTTTCTTTTAAGATTTTTTTTTAATAAATCAAAATAAATCAAAATTTAGTAATAATATTAAATAAACGATTATTTTTTATTTTTTAATATTTATTAAATTTATTTTTTCAATTTTCCATCTGAAAATAAATATTTGATTTTATTTAAATCATCAAAATGATATTTTTTAAAATATTAATTAATTTATTATACATATTCTTATTATATTATTATATTATTTATTAATCTATTTAATAAGTAAGCCCATTCGTATTTATTAAATTCGTAAATAAAATAATAAATAATAATTAATTAATTAATTCGTTATTTATTAAATTTTAAAAATATTTCTGATTAATTAGTAATGCCCTACTCTCCACTTAAATTGTCATAAAACTTTAAAAATTATAAATTTAAAAAAAGTAATTAGAAATTAAAAATTAAAAAAAATTCTTTTTTAATAATTTATAAATTTTATAAATTAAATTATAAATTTTTTTTATAATTTATAAATTTTATAAATTAAATTATAAATTTTTTTTTTTACATTTATTAATAAATCCCTGATATATTGAAGAATTTTTACAACACAATTTCTTCTTTTGTTTTTAGAATTTAATCAATTGCTCGTAAATCATTTGTAGATACATCTGGACCATTGGTGGCAAAAATTCAATAAATTCGATGCTGTTGGTGAATATCTATATATCTACGTGAAAAAAGTATTAAAAAAAAAAAAAAAAAAGAAAAAGAATGTGGAGAAAAATGGTATTTAACCAATTTTAAGCAGAGCTATAATTAAAATATACGATGATAAAATCTACGATGTCTGACAACATAATAATGTGTGATTCAAACTCCCAGTAGTGAAACTTACGCTTTGTCCGACGACATGACTTCAAATATATAATATAAAACGGACTTGGTCGAACTTCTGAATGGATGTTTGATAAGGAAAATACTGAACAGAAGAAAGGAAGGAAGGAAGGAAGGAAACATTTCTCTCTCTCTGTAAGGTAAAGTTCCCTTTTCATGTTTATTTCATGTTCATTTCAATGACATTCATAAAACATTTTCGAATTAATTAAAAAATTTAAATATTAATTATATAATTAAGTTTTTATTATAGCAAAAAGTCAGTTTTCATAAAATTATTATTAAATTATTATTTTTAATAATAAAATTATTATATATTTATAATATAATTTAATATAATTATAATACACTATAATTGTAATGTATTATTACAATATAATAGCATTAAAATATAATTACAGTGAAATCGACTGATGGTAAAAATTTTGAAAAATGAAAATATAAAAAAATATCCGACACAGAAATCTACCTTACCAACCGATGGCGAAAAAATACTATCAGTCGGTAAGGTAGATTTCTATGTCGATAATTTTCATATTTTTATTTTTCAAAAAAAAATTACCATCGGTAAAGTAGATTTCTGTGTCAGTATTTTTTGTGTTTTCATTTTTAGAAACTGTTTATTATCAGTCGGTAATTATTTATTTAATTTATACTATATCTAGTTATTGTTTTATTTTATTATTATTTTAAGGATTTTTTTTAATATTATTCCGAGTGGAGAATTTTTTTTTAGGTTCTTTTCAAATTTTTTAAATCAGTAGTAAAAGTAAGTTTTAGTCAGACAATCGATTTATTGGCCAAATTTGTTCATATCAGGTTTGAATCGACTTTCTTCTTATATAAATATAGTTTTCACTTTATTCTAGCGAGAGAGATAAAAAAATTTTCAAGACAAATACTTTTTTTTTTTTTTTTTTTTTTTTTTTTTTTTTTTTTTTTTTTTAATAAGACATATAATATTGACATAAAATAAAATATATAGGTAGAAAAAAGTGCTTTAGAGCAAATCTTTTTTGGCAGGATATTTTCTTTTATCTGCGCGACATTTAAATTAATCGTGCTGGGGACCTGTAAATTTAAAATCATTCCTATGAATCGTTTTTTAACTGATTGACTATATCCATTTTGAAGTAACTCTTGTGAAAATCTTCTCCAGGGAATTTTATATATATATATTGCATTAAAAAAAGTCTTATATTCAATTCAATTTTCAATGTCGCAGTGCGACAAATCGAGTGTCCAGATTCGATACATCAAATAAATTCAAATATTATATAAAATATTTCAATATCTTTCAATTTAGTTATTTATTTTAATTTTTCAAATATATGTTTATCTTTATGTAACAATTCGCAATTAGATCAGAAAAAATTTATTTCCTGCACCAAAAAAAAAAAAAATAGAAGAAAATAATCTTGATTTCTATTCACAAATATTTATTTATTTAATTATCTTTTTTTTAAAATTATTTTTTCTTAAAAATTAATACCGCGAATAAATTTAAAAATTAGTAGAAAATAAATTAATATAAAAATTTATAATATTATTTTTATTAATTAAAATTTTTAATTTATTAATATTTACATTTTTTATTTGAAATTAAAAAATTTTTAATTTATTTTTTTTTCTCTTATTGTTTCAATAACCGGAGACAAGTGTATACAAATTATAGTAAAAAAAAAAAGGAAATTAAACTTTGACTGTTTTCCAACTTTTGTTATTATATTTAAGAGAAAATTGCTCCCTCCTTTCTTATTCACGCAAAAGAATGAAATTACTTTTGAAGTTTCTTCGACTTATTCAAAAGTTTTCATTGCAAAATTATTTCGCAGCATTGTATTTACGATATAATGGAAATGCTTATTTCCTACTATGAGAATCAATTGTCAAACCAGAAAAAAAGTAAAAAAAAAAAAAAAAGAAAGGAAAATATAATTGAATTTTAATTATATTTTCACTTTTTATTTTTGTTAATATTAATAATTATCAATAATTATAATAAATTATTTAATAATATTATTATAAATAAATAAAAAATGAAAGTGACAAAAAATAGTAATTAATTAATTACATTTATTTATAAAATAATAATAATTATACAAATGTTTTTAATATTTTTAATATTTATTATTTTCATATTATTATTTATTATATATTTATATTATTATTTATTATATTTTGTTCACTTATTTTATTTATTATAATTTTATTTTTTCAAATTTAAATTACAATCGAACACTTTGATTGTATTTCGATATATCGATATTTATATTCGATACGATTATTTCAGTTTTTGTCCGTTGGACGCGCTTGGCGCGCATTTTGTTGACATGTTTTGACACAGAGGTTAAGTTGTAGTGAGAGTTTAGAAAAACTTTAAATATAGTTTTAGAAATCATATATTTTTGTAAAAAAAGAAAGATGCAGCCTATAGTGAAATTAATTAGTTTATTTATCACCCTCGATGCTGTTTGCCATGCTTACACAGTTGGTTTTGAATCTTTGAATACACGTAAGTCTTTCTTTAATACCTAACCTATAATCAAAAAAACCGGCTAAAAATAAGTTTGATTTTCATTTATTATGATAAGAAATCTTTCAAAATTATTGTACTTAATTTATTCTTAATGTTTAATTTTTACTTTATAATTGACAAATTTAATTATAAAAAATATTAAAAAAAAAAAAATAATAATACAATATATTCTAGAATTGATTGTTTACATTTTTAAAATGTTTAATAATTTAATTTTTTTTGATCAAATTATTAGTTATTATTTACTAAATTTTGATATTATTTATTGAAAAATTTAATTTTTTATATTAAAATTTTTATTTTATTTTGTAGCTCATTATTTAGAACCTGGGAATTCAGTATCAATTGAAAGTCAATCACCAAGTCTAAGCATTTTTTGTCACAATGCAAAATCAAAATATTTAATTCATACGTGGAGAACTGTATTTGTAAGATTTGTGAAATGTATTTTGTTTTTAAATTCTTTAATTATGAGAGATTATTTAATTTATTGTTTTTTTTCTTTTTTTATGATTAATTACAGATGAATTTAGACATTAATTTAGAAAATTATGAAATATACGATGGTAGAACTCCAAATGAAATTACAACCAAGTATGAGGATAATAGACGCTCATGGAATTTTAATTTCTTTAGTACAAAAAAGAATAAACAATTTAGAATTAATCCTTTCGAAGATACCTGCATTGGAGTTAATACTCTTCTTCATAATTATCGATATAAAATGTCAATGACAGAACAACGTTAGTATAGAAACAAATTTTAATCATATAATTAGAAATTGAAAAAAAAAAAACTAAATTATTCAATTTTTTGTTTTGTGTGCTGAAAAAATGAAAAAGTTTTTTTTTTACAATTTCTGAGTAAAACAAACGAAAAGAATAATATAGTATGTATAATATAAAAGTTTTTTTTTTTTGATATTTTTCCAGGTGTTGATATATGGAAAATTGCGTACATGATTCTAGGAATATTAATATTTTGGTCTGGAAAGAGACTTAGTCAGAATACATTATTTTATTATTTATGTGGAGTTACATTAGGTGTCACGACTTCAGTCATTATACTTATATATTTTGTTGGCAAATTATTTCCAAAGGTAAAAAATTATTTTTTTTAAAAAAGACTTTTTTAATGTATAAATATAAAAATGAAGGAAAAGTTAATGCAATTTCATTTATAATATAAAAAATTTTTATTTAATTTTAAAAATTTCTACAAATTCTATTTTATTTAATAAAGTTGTGACTATTTTTAGCTTAATTAAAAAAAATGACTAATTATAATAACATTTAAAGGGAAAATTCATGTACATAATGGTAGCAACTGGTTATACTATGAGTTTCTACGTTGCTCAACTTTTATGGGACAATGCACAATTAATTGCACTGCAATATCGTGATTTTGTTTTGTGGTACATTCTGATAACTTCTCTCATAAGTTTCGTTATTTGTTATCGATTTGGACCAATCACAAATACTAGAACAAAACGAATTATCCAATGGTTCCTGCAGGTAATTACTTTATAAACTTTAATACAAGTTTCCAAATAGTAATTTAATTAATACAAATTTACTTTATTTATTTAATTTCAATTAATTCATTTCAGTATTTTTTTTCTTCATTTATAAATTTTAAATTCAATTAAAATTATTAAAAACATTTTTAATGTTGATAGGAATTTTATATTTTTACAAAAAAAAAAAAAAATTCAAATCGACTGTGATTAGAAAATTAGTGTTTGATAAAAACATTTTATTTTTTTTCATGAAACGAATATTTCATAAATTACAGAGTCTTGGCTTAGTGATGATTTACTGTAGCAGTTATTTTTATGAAGCTTCGGGCTCATGTTGCGTCCTTGTTCTCATGCTGTACAATTTTCCGATATTTGCTTTGAAAAAAGGACGAAAATATTGGTGAGTTTCCTGGGAAGGACAACGGTATAATTTATTTTAACATTTGAAGAAAAATCATTCCAATGATTTTTTTAAAAAAATGGCAATATTTATTTTCTTTAGGTTTTTTTTGTACTTTATTTAAAAAAAAATATATATTTAAAATTTATAAAAAAAAATTTTTCGTTAATTATTTATAGTTTTAGTTTCTTTTTCAGTTTTAATTTAAATTTACTTTTTTTAAATGTTAATATTTTATTAATAATCGTTATTAATACTTTTGTGCTTCTTTTGTTAAACTTTTTGAAGATTTTCAAATAAACTGCTTTTCACAATAATTATTGACATTTTAGTTCATTATTTCCGTTTTGGAGAAAGGTGTCAAACTCGAGACGACTTTTGACAGATGATGAGTACCATAAAGAAGGGCTTAAAGAAACAAGAAAGGCTTTGAAAGATCTTCAAGATTATTGTTCTAGTCCCGAGTGCAGTCCTTGGAAAACTGTATTAAAACTGAAGGATCCTTCAAAGTAGGTGAAATTTTAAGTTAAAATTTTGAAACAAGTATTTTAGTAACATAATTAATAATTTTCGATCTTTTTAATGGAAAAGGGAATTTTAATTAATTTATTCTTTTTTTTCAATTTCAGATTTGCAAAGTTTGTCGAAGGCGGCTGTCACATTACTGAAGACGAATCATTTGACTATGATACATCAATTGCACAACTCATTGAAGAATGTGAATATACAGATGACGAGGATGAGGAATTATAATCTCTCATTTGGATGTGATTTCAAAGAAGACTTATTTGTATCCTTATTTATAATTTTAGTTCTTTTTTTTATCAATTTACACACTTTTGGGTGGAAATTTAGGGGAAAAAAATTCGACTGGTTATTAATATAATTTTTTTTCTATTAATAATCAATGGTTATTAGTGTAAATATTCTTTTATTAATAATTTCTGGTTATTAATATATATAAATATTTTCGTTTTTTTTATTAACATTAGATTATTAATGTAAATATTATTTTATTAACTATCTTTGATTATTCATTTTCATTTATTAATAATTTGTGATTATTAAAAATGATTCTTTAAATTAATAATCCATATTATATGAAATTCGTACATTTTTATGGTAAAAATTGAATTATACATTCAAAAAAAAAAAATACATTAATCGATAAATTATTACAAAAAAAAAGTGGAGACAATGTTTAAAAATCTATAAAATAAAATTTCTATTTTTTTACAACTATGTCAGTATCAAATTCCAGTCTAGATTACAACATTGGTCTTTAGGAAGACTATTTGTTTTGTATTAAAAAATATAAATCAGTTATTAATTTGGAATTAGTATAAAAAAACTTCTTTTTTAATTCCAAATAAAAATACTGATTTTTGAAGATACAACAGAAACTAAGGCACATGTTAATTTTTGTTTGATAATTGTCATAATTATGACTATTTGTTAAAAATGTTTGCCTTCAGTTTTTGTGAGTATTGGCAGTGTGAATAATTATATTTTTTTAAGTATTATTATTCAACGAAGACGTGAGATTTTTTTAGTTTTATCATTTTCTATTGGTGGAGGTGGACCTTTTGCTGCTTGATGTCTGCTGTAAACGCTTTAGAGAAAAGAAATCAGTATTAATTATCATGTAAATTTGAAAAATAATTTTAATTTCAAAAATTAATTAATTAACTTACTATTTATATGTCTCGGAGCGAATATAATCTATAACGTGAGAAACACCAACTTGTAGTTGATCGCCAATTGGCGTTACCCAGGGATTGTATTCCATTCTAAAAACAGCTTTATTGCTGACCAAGTCCAAGTTTCCTGTTTAATGAAAAAAAAACATTTCTTTTAAGATTTTTAATAATCGTTGGTTAATTTTATTCAATTATATATTTAGGATTTTATTTTTTTTTTAATTGTTTATTGAAATTTTGACTAAAATTACCAATTTCCGGTGGAAGAACAGTTAAACGATTTCCCTGAATGTGTAGTTCTCGAAGTCGACTTAGTTCTCCAATTTCCTTTGGCAATTCTATAAGGTCATTATCTCTCAAAACAAGCTGCAATTAAAAAAGTTGCTGTATATTTATATATTTTTTTTAATTAACTCAAAATTTTTTATTAATTATGATTTTTTATTACTATTTGCAGATTTCGCAGTTGTTTAATATCTGGTGATAAATACTCGAAATCATTGTCCGCCAAATAGAGTGCTCGCAACGTATCTGAGGAAAGAGGATTTTCAATATTTGTCTAATTTCTTGATACAATTTGGAAAGAAAAGAATTGTCATTTACCCATCATGAAAAAATTTCCAGGTAATTTTTTTTCATTTAAATTATTGTACGTTAAATTTAAAACTTCCAAAACTGGAAAGGCACCAAATCCTCGCGGCAGTTCATTTAGCCTGTTCATTCTGAAAGTAATTTTTTTTGTTTGAAATTCTTATTTTAAAAAATTAGAATGTTAAATTTAATTTTTTCTTTATTTATTCTATAATACAAAAATATTAATCTAATTTTTTAAACATACCCTATATTTAAAATCCTTAATTTTGGTAATTGTGAAAGAGTCATGGGTAGTTCCATAATGTGATTGTTGAATAAATTAAGAATTTCCAGATTTACAAGATAGGATATCGCCTGAGGAACAGCTTTAATGATAAAAGTTTATTAATTTTATAAATAATTTGTAGATTATTAATTTAATATTGATAATCGTGTAATATTAATTACCTTGCAATTTATTGTGACTGAGAGTTACACGAGTAATGTTTTGCATATTAACTGAAAACAAAAAAAAACAATGTTCTGTTAAAAAAATTTGAAATGTTTAATTATTTTATTTAAAAATAATAATTACAGTAATTTATTATGCATTTTTTGAAAATGAAATTTATTTAATTTTTGAAACGCATATTTTCATTATCAGGCCTAAAAAATTTTCTTTTCTGTTTCATTTTTTTCTTAATCTTTCGTAAGTTTTTTTTTAATATTTCTTTATTTTATGTTTACAGACATATGAATGAAAATTTATGCATTCAAAAAAAGAGTGAAGTAATGCGCATGCTTACACACGCCTATTAAAAAACGAGGAGTGTGTCTTTTAATATATATAGATATATATATTTTATAAATGTGTGGCTCCTCGCACAAACCAGTCTCGACAACTTACCAAATTTGGTAAGAGAGAAAACAAGAATGAAGGACAAATATGGGGTTTGTGCTGGCGAATGGAATATACTCACACAATCCTGGCATCTCGTCAAAGCTGGAAATTCCCTTGTCAGCGAGATCCAACTCGGGATTTTGAATTTCTCGAGCTTCATCGAGGACCTTCTTTGCTTTTGCCATCTTCCCGGCAGCAGGAATACACGACACTGGGGTTTGGCTCATGATTGTACGCGCGCGCGCACACTTGAAATATTACGTCAGGAACTGTAAATAAAAATGCGCCACAGTTGCCACCACAATGTTGTTTCACGATGGGAAAACTTCGTGAGATACAAAACTTCTTGTTCTCATGTGTCGAAGAGACAGTTTAATACTGGTATTACTTTCAAAATCACTTCATCTTCAACCCAACACAAGAAACGAAACGGTTTCACTAAAGTTGGCGCTGTTTTGTATTTTTTTTATTTATATAATTCATTAAATTAAATAATATTTCTTATTGATCATTTTCACATTTTAATATTTATGAAATTATTACAAAATATTTTTCAAAAATTGATATATTATATTTTTTTTTACTTCGTGATACATAAATATTGATATTTAAATTTTATTCTAAAAAATATTATTTAAATTTAATTCAACTGTTACTTGAAATTTTGAATTGAATTTTTGAATTTTGAATTAAATTTGAATTTTTACTTTTTTATTTACAAAATACTTTAGTTTTTTTTTATTAAATAAATGTAATAATTTCATCTATATTTTTGTTTCTATCAATGTAATTTGATTAATGAAATATTTTTATAAATATTTTATTTAAAAAGAAATCAGTTAATATTTAAAAATTTACTATCTGATGATAAATATTAAAGTTAGAGTTTGAAAGAGTAGATGGAGTATCGTGTACTAAAAACAAGCTTAAGGCTTTTAGACTTTATCGACTGTTCTCTATAATTCATTTTTTTTTTTTTTGTTAATTATCTCAAAATTAACACGTATAATTTTATTTCTCGGAGAAATTTTTTTAAGAAACCGTCAAAATTTTATTATAAGAAATTATAAATCAAATTTTGCGACCATACTGATTTTTCGTTTACAAATATTTTGAATTTTTGAATGGAATTAATTTAAATATTGAAATTGATAATCTAATATGCCAAATAAATATTATTTGGAAAAATTTTCAAGAAAAAATTTTTAAGAACATCCAAAAGCATTTTATATGTTTTAATTATATTTATTAATTCCATTTTATTTTTATTAATTTCTAAAAATAGAAAAATAATGTGAAAACTCTTTAATAATTTAAAAATATTTTCAGTGATTTAGAACAAATAGGTATATAAAATTGTTTTTTATTACTTTTAAAACCTAATTAATATGTACAGTGAAACCCACATATATCGGATTTCAAGGTACCGGAAAAAAAATCCGATGTAAGCGAGAATCCGAATTATGCGGGTCCGATATACGTGGGTTTCAATGTATTAAATTAAGTTTTAATCCATAAAATAGCACACTTTTACCAAATAATAAAAAAAACTCTTACCAATATATCAATATTATAATAAATAAATATTTTTCTTTGTAATGCGCGTTAGAAAAATCTAATTTACTTGCTAGCGCTAGGCGATCATTAGACATAATTCACCTTATCGACTGATGGTAAAGAAAATTTTGAAAAATGAAAATATAAAAAATTACCGACGCAGAAATCTATCTTACCGACTGATGGTAAATTTTTTTAAAATGAAAATATAAAAAATTACCGACGCAGAAATCTACCTTACCGACTGATGGTAAAACAGGTTTTTTGAAAAATGAAAATATAAAAAATTACCGACGCAGAAATCTACCTTGCCGACCGATGGTAATTACCGACTGATGGTAAAAAAAGGTTTTTTTGAAAAATGAAAATATAAAAAATTACCGACGCAGAAATCTACCTTACCGACTGATGGTAATTACCGACTGATGGTAAAAATTTTGAAAAGTCAAAAAAATTACCATCAGTCGGTAAGGTAGATTTCTTCGTCGGTAATTTTTTATATTTTCATTTTTCAAAAAACCTGTTTTACCATCAGTCGGTAATTACCATCGGTCGGCAAGGTAGATTTCTGCGTCGGTAATTTTTTATATTCTCATTTTTCAAAAAAAACCTGTTTTACCATCAGTCGGTAATTACCATCGGTCGGTAAGGTAGATTTCTTCGTCGGTAATTTTTTATATTTTCATTTTTCAAAAAAACTGTTTTACCATCAGTCGGTAATTACCATCGGTCGGTAAGGTAGATTTCTTCGTCGGTAATTTTTTATATTTTCCTTTTTCAAAAAACCTGTTTTACCATCAGTCGGTAAGGTAGATTTCTGCGTCGGTAATTTTTTATATTTTCATTTTTCAAAAAAAAACCTGTTTTACTATCGGTCGGTAAGGTAGATTTCTGGGTCGGTAATTCTTTATATTTTTAAAATTTCTTACCATCTTGTTAATTTTTAAACCATCTATATAAATATATTTAAATTATTTTCTAAAAACTATATTTTTCAAATTTAAAAAAAGGCATTAATGTAAAAAAAGTAAACCAAAAATAAAAGTCATAAACGATAAATTTACATTTTATTTTCAATATATGTATAGAATAAAGCACAAAATAAAATCAAGGTGATAAATCAAAATAAATAAAAAAAATGCACTCTTTATTTTCGAAGCAATCTTTTAATATAGCAACATAGTCAGTCTTAATTATAATAAGCCAAAAATACAATCTATATATCAAGCCGTAGGAAAGTGTGCGAAAAGATTGTTCAATTTCAAAAATTTTCACTCTACCAAATCACCTTCCTGGAATGCCAAAACTTTTTTTTTTTCTTCAACTGCAACGCGCGATGGTTAAAGTGAAAATATAATCGAGATATCCATATATCTCGTCGAAAAAAGAATCACATACTTTTCGTTCACTTTCCTTCCAATAAATTTTACAATTTTACACATAATTACTTCATCGTTATTACAGTTTATCGTTTTCATTTTTTTTCACGAATCAAATGTTTTTTTTTTTTTTTTTTTTTTGATTCGCAATTGTAGAGTAATCGGCTCCTTAAAAATAATTATATTGTATATAGCTATAGATTTTTCTTTCTCACAAGGGGGAAAGTGCATTATTATAATTGTAGTATGTGTAGTGATGATTCCAAATAATTAAAATAAAATAAAAAAATAAAAAATAAATGAATGAAATTGTTCGTGACAACGTCGCCCTACATTAAATGATTTTTCATTAAAATGCAATCAATTCATTTGTTGATCTTCCATAAGATCATCATTCTCTTGTGTTTCCTTTTTTTTTTCTTTTTTTTTTACGAAAATGAAATAAGACGTAGATCAGAATATAAAATAGAAATTTTTTTTTTGTATTTCTTTTAAAAAAATGAAGATTGCTTGATTCTTAACTTGTTTGAATTGTCCTCAAAATTAAGACAATTCAACTATTTAAAAAAAAAAAAAAAAAAAATGGGGACAAATCAATGAGAGTAGAAATGGTCGTTACTCATTACAAATATATAGATATATTATAATATAATAGGTAGAGTTATTTCATGAAACATTTAAAGCCTTACGTAAAATATACAATGTTCGTGTGGATCTGAGTTTGTGTGAGTTTTCCATGTATTTAATTGTGCATATATGTGTAAATGCAATCTGTAAATCTTGTTTCCTTTTCTTTTGTTATTAATATACGATTTCACATCTAATTTTTGATGTGATTTCTTTTTTTTAAATACGAATATGCGCTTCGACATTCACGCTTTTTTTTAAAACTTGATGCTTGGCTACGACGCAAGATTAATTCAAGACGCCGATAAATATTCTTTGCCTGTTACTTTTAATTACATGTATAGTTTTTTTCACTGAGATACAAAGGTTTACTCCCTGATTAAAAAAAAAAGAAAGAAAAAAAAATCAATCCTTTTCATATTCGGAAAGTTTAAAAAAATATATCCTAAATTTCACTTGAAAGAATTTCTTACAAGTTTTTTTAGTGTGAAAAACTAATTTTCAAATCGCTATTTATTTAAATATTCCCAAATATCAAAAGAATATTTATTGGGGAGATCTTTTTTTATCAGGGAGATATTGGTATCAAATACTCGGATCAGCTACATAAAAATTGTTCCACTGTTTTTTTTTTTTTTTTTTTTTTTTTTTTCTTTCTGAAGATATGCATATTACTTTTCGTAGTTCAAATCGTTCTCTTGACGAAATGCTATAGTGTTCTTTTCTTTTTATTTTTTTTTTTTCGTAAAAACAAGTTTGGCAGTTTCTTTGTTTTGGCTTCACGAAAAAATTATTATAAAAAATATATCTCGAGTATTTTACTGTTAGGTAAAGTACAAAAATCGTTGGATGTTTAATGATTATGACATATATATATACCTAAAGCGAAGGGGGGGGGGGGGGGGTGAGAACTTGCAGCAAATACGTCAAGAAGCACGAATTATAACCATTGTCGAAAATTCGTTTTAAAAGTTTTTTTTGAGGAAATCGTAGCGAAAAAAGAAAAAGTATGAGGCCATTTAGAAAATTTTATCTATTCAAGTAGATATACCTCGAATTCTCGATTCCACTAATTCTTTTTCTAGAATAATAAAAATAGAAAATAAAATTAATTTTGATTAATTCGAGGATTCGAGGAATTATTAAAAAAAAAAATTGAACCCTTTTTTTCCTTTTCAGTCGATTGAATATTGTTAATTATTTTATTCATTGGAATGAATTTTCGATTGCCTTGTTTTCGATACTTCTAATACGCTTCATTAGTCAATAATGGAAGAGTTATTTATTGTATATAGCAATAAGAGAATAGGAGAATATAGTTTGAATTTGAAGCTATTAGAAATACATAGAGAAAATGATTCTTTTCTTTTTTTAAATATGAAAAACGAAAAGTTTTTTTTTTTTTCTAAATTTTTAACTACTGTGGACCACATCAAATTTTTTTGATATTGTATTTTGGTTCTTTTTTTGTTTGCATTGTTATGTAAAAGGACTTTCTTTACTATTGTTCTCTTTGCGTTATTCACACACGAGATTTCAAGTCTAGAATGTCACAAGAGAGGACACGCTATACTAAACTTAAAGTAAAAAACAAGGAAATAAATGCATCGTTTCCTTTCTAATATCGTTAAATTCTAAAATGATATCACGTTCGAGTTGTCGAAGATATTATTAATAATAGTAAATAAAAAAAGGAAACTGAAGGCGAATTAAAGTTAAAAAAAATAATAATAATTTGCATTTTCTGCAAATCAATCTAAAGTGGATCTTCGCATGGATTTTACAACATACTCACACATAACTATCATCTGTGCTTTATGAAGATCATTTTTTTTTTTTTTAGTAAAATTAAGCTTTTTTTTTGTTTTTATTCATTGCGTCTGGAAAATTCGGATCTTCTGTTGTGTTTTTTTTCCCGATGTTGTAGAACGCCAGCTTTTTTTTTTGTTTCAGATACATCACGCATTATTAATTCAGCTTGATTCTTTCTCCTTGGAATCTGTAATAAATGTATGAAATTTATTTTCTTTTTTTACTATTAGGAAAAAAAATTAAAATAAAAATGTGACTAACCGCTGTCAGATTTGTCCTCCGACGTGCCATTGGTTAATTCAGGCTCCTTTTTCTTCTCGCTCTCTTCAGAATCAACACTTGCCGCTTTCTTTTCTTCCTGATTTTGATTTTTCTTGTCCTTTGTTTTGCTTTTAGCGGGTGTCGCTGGCTTTGGTTTTGGCTCCTGGCTAGGATCCAAAACAATTTTTCCAACATTCTTTCGATCGTGCATCCTTTGCATTGCCTCAGGAACATCCTCGAGTGCCCAAGTTGAATCAACAACTGGCTTTACTTTGCCATCTTTCCACAATTGGAAGACTTGATTGACAGCTTTTCGTACAAATTCATAACATCCACTTTGGTACATCAAGTGACGCAAATTAAATCCAGAAATTGTCTTGTTCTCGTAGAATAATTTAATAGGAGACACTTTGTCGACTTGCCACCACTGTAATTAAAAAAAAAAAAATCAATTATTTAAAGAACTTTGTACAAAAATAATGAGAAAGTAAAAAAGAAGCCAAGAAGAAAAAAAAACCATTTTAAATTAAATAAGAATAAAAAATAAAAATGCGAAGCAAAAAAAAGGTGCGAATAAAAATTATTTTCTTTCTTTTGTAATTCTGAGGTATTAAAAAAAAAAAACTAAACTAAATTGTTAAAAGAAAACGTGCATGTTAGACCTGAAAGTATTTGCTTACGGATCGGGCTGCGGAGAAAATGCTTTTGGTTTCTCCAGTGACAACATTGCTCGATCCGTACAAAATGTATCTTCCCATTGGTTTCAAAAGATTGTAACCATGATTGCATTCCTGGCCGCATAAGCAATCTAAAACAATGTCAACACCTTCGCCGGAAATTCTAAAAAAGAAAATTAATTTTCATTAAATATTAATAATTATAAAGTAAAATTTTTATTATATTGTAATAATTCTAAATTTTTCAAATTGAACTTGATCAATATAAAATTTTTATAACTCACTTTCTGACTTCGTTGACATAATCAACACCACGTTCAATGAGATGATCGATTCCAGTATCCTTGAGAGATTCATGCTTTCCTTTGCTGCAAACTCCAAAGATGGTGACATCCTTTACAGTTTTAGCGAGTTGCACAACAGCTTGGCCCTGTAATCACAAAAAAAAAAAATTATTTTATTACAAAAATTATTTATTAGAAAATAAAAATTACTTTACTATTTAAATTCTATTTTTCTCATTTAATTTTTTTTTTCAAAACTAAAACTTTTTTTTCAATTGAAATAAGAATATTTCTATTTTTATTCTCGTCATCGGTAATATATTATTGAGAAATCATTACAAAAATATCAACAATGAACAAAGGGATATTTATTCGTGGAAAAAATATATTGTTAAAGAAACCTGATTATCTTGGATATAATAAAGACCAAGATAAGAGAAGCAATGAGAGGGGATCATTTCTCGTAATTTGTCATTTTATCAATGTCCATTGAGTCATTGGGTCTTAATGTTGATTTTATTTTTTGATGATATAAAAAAAAGGGCAACCTAAAGGAAGGACACAAAGTTACTTAACGCTTTTTCTCGCGTACATTCCATAAACATGAAAGATACGCTTTTTTCAGGGAAAGAAGAAGAAGAAGAAAGGGTGTGGTCTTAACAGAAGGGGAGGGAAAAAAAAAAATATATATATATATAAAAATCGACACAAGCCGCGTGAGATTTTAAACAGAAGTAGCATTCATTATTTCCGAGAAAAGATCGTTTCTTCTTCCTGTACATTTTGTCTTCATTTCTTTCTCTCTTTCTCTCTTCCTCTCACACTCGATCTTTTACTCTTTTCTCCCCTGCCATTCCTTCCTCATGATCTTTGCGTGGCCCTGCAACTCGACACCCGATACTTCCAAACCAAGAAGAAAAAAAAAAAAAAAAGCGGCCAACCAAGAATTTTAAACAGTCGCTCTAAATTGTATCTCTTCTGTACGATGTACACTAAAATTCAGTAGAATGTAAAAGAGGGTGAAAGCATTATGAATTTTTTTCTTTTTTCTTAACTACATTAATTTCTACTCTCTTTTAAATAATTTTGTCTCGTACAAAAAAAAAAGAAAAATCAAAAGAATTTTTATTTTATCAATCGTCAAGTATTAAATTTAATTTCTTAACAATAATATCAATAATTTGTTCAGTTAAAAATTTTCATAAAAAATAATTTTCATTTCTTTTTGATCATAAACTTTCCAATAATAATTGGAAAGTAGTTCCGTATAAGAAATATGTAAATACATATTAAGTTATTCATGAAAAATGCAAAGAAGTTTTTTTTTCAATTCGTGAAAACAAAATTTCTATTTACTCGCAAAAGAAAATAAAAAGAAATACTATAATAGAAAAATAAAATTTCAATTTTCAAAGTATTTTCGAAAACAAATCTCGATGACAATAGGAAAAAAAAAAAAAAAAACGAATTAACGCCCCGCGCATTATAAATTGATGATATACACACATTATATTTTCAATAAAAGAACCGGAAAAGCTAATAATAATCGATGAAAGGCAGTATCGGCTTATCCTTCGTTTTGCGGGATTCTTCGCCGATTCTGATGGTATTTAGGAGGATTATAATGGAATATGGTGTTGATTGATGAGTAATTGAATTTCTAAATCGTCAGACAAAGACTTATTTGACTCCGGCTTTAGTCCAAGGACAATAAATTTCCTTCGAACCAATATATATATATATATATAGTCGGCGAAAAGCCGGACGACGTTTCAGAGACGCTTGCGCTTGATAAGTGGTCAAAATCCATTCTCATGAAAAGTAAGTCACGTAGATGGAAAAAGTCGTGGGAAACTTGAGAAAAAGGTAGTACTAGTATTCGAGAAAAATGGTTTCTCTCTCATCCGGGCTTTCGCACCCGCACCCTTTTAACATTTTCTCTGAGCTTTCTTTTCTTTTATTTATTATTATTATTATTTATTTTTTTTTTTTGTTAAGCGCGCATGTGACATGTTATAATAATACTTCTTTTTTTTTTTTGACTCAAAGAAGCCACTTAACAAGATATATTAAGCATTGTCCTATCCACCAGCATATAACATTCGTCATATCCGTTCCAAAATCAGTCTTGAGGAAATAAATTCTTATTAAATATTCTATGAGAGAGATTTTACTTAATTTATTCCTCTAATAAAGATGATTATATATTTATTCAAAGGAGTGGGAGATTCTATTAATGAAATCCTTTACAATTATATATATATATATTAATGTATAATTGAATGCCCTCTATGAAATTATTCAATAGACACTTTTTTCTCAAAAAAAAAAATAAAAAATGATTTTTTATCTCGAAATTTTAGAATCGAAAATTCCAAGACTTAAATAATTTTCTAAATTCAGAATAAAAATTTTAATATATTTTTTGATTTCAATGATCCGGTTTTGTACACTTGAAAAAAAACTTTATAATTTTTTTCATATTTACGAAATATGAATTTTTCAAAATTGAAGAATTTAAATTAATTTTTAATTTAAATTTAAATATTTTTTTCATTTTTTCATATTTTTGAAATATGAATATTTTTCAAATTTTTGGAGAATTTAAATGGTTTTTTTATTTTTCAATTCTCATATAACTTCCTTAAAAATGCATAAAAGTTTTTTTTTTTTTTTTTTTTTTTCTTCAAAATTTGTCTTTTCAACTGAACTTTTTCAAAAATTATAAAATTAAAATTTAGTATATTTTTCTCCCGGTTGGATGATCATATCTTGCAAAAATTTATTCATTTTCAGGGTGTCTAACAAGGATTGAGAAAAAAATTCCCTGACTTTTCCATGACATTTTTTGATTTTTCCCTGACTTTTTAATAACCTTATTTCTGCTTTCTTTGGACAAAAATATGGTTACTGACATATTTAACAATAAATTAATTTCTAATAGTAGTAACAACAAATGGTAATAAAAACCATTCAAGTTTTTTTAGATTAAAAAATTTTTTAATTCACAAAAAATTTTAATTTTTGTCGAAATTTTCCTGACTTTGAATGAAATTTTTTGAAATTCCCTGATATTTCCCTGACCAATAAAATTCCCTGACGTTTCCCTGACCGTTAGACTTTCCCTGATTTTAGTTTCTTTGGTAAAAATTATGATTTTCAGAATTTTTTAATATTATAATTTTAACGAATTGAAAAATAAAAATCTCATATATTTTCGAGAATTTCCATTATATGTTGAAAGGGAAGAAAAATTATTATTTTCGAAAGATTTCACAAACTTTTGAAATTCAACCACGTGGTGAAGGCGCGTCACATTTAAAATATAATGTGAATCTTGGAATTTGCAAAATTGATTCTAACACGGATCTCCTCCCTCCCTTTATTTATACTTGTTAATTCCAAGGATTTTTTTTTTTTTGGATCCACATACACATTTAAAGAGTTCGTTTAATACAGGACTCGAATTGCGAGTGTTAAACGAGCTTAAAGTGCCACGTGGTGTAGTTTCAGACGGGCGCGGTCGGTGGTAGGCGGTGGTCGATGATAGAGAGAGGAAAAGAGAGAACATTGCAAATCCAAAGGAGACAGAGAGAGAGAGAGAGAGAGAAAGATGGTTGCCTAGCAACCCTCATCCCAATGGTTTTCCCAGCCACCCCCATAGATTTCATCTTCTCAACTTCTGTTCATGGAGTTCACAAGCGGTACCAAAGGGGAGAGGGAGGTGAGGCAAAGAGAACTCTCCCCCCCCCCGATGAAGGGGGGGGCAAAAGGGGTCGAAGGACAGAGTGTGGCTGGTGATGGTGGCGGCTGCTGCTGCTTCTGCTTCGGGTGTAACCTGTTGAGTCGTATTGATCCTGAACTTTCTTGGACGAAAAGCACGTACATGAGAGTCGCGCTGTGAAATTCGCAGACTGAATTAAACTTTCAACCCGTAGTTGCTGGACCTTCTACATCCGCGTATTTGTTAAAATAAACAAGATTTCTTTCTTTCTTTCTTTCATTTTCTCTGCAGCTAAATCTCCTCACTATTCGAAAAAGAATATTTACATCCATATATACTGGAAGAAGAAAAGATTTTTATTTTTATTAAATAATAATAAATTAAAAAAAATTTACTAAACATGAAAAAATAGTTTTTCTGAATTTTTATTTTTGATACTTGAATTCCAAATTCAGAAAAAGAAGAATAACTTTTAATTCTATTTTGAATGAAATATTTTTAATTTAAATTTACTGATAATAATGAATGAAATTGCTTGATATGATTTCTTTGTAAAGATTATTATTACAAATCTGTTTACTACGCACTGTTTCTAAAAAAAAAAATTTTTTTTTTCAAACTCGAGACATTTGTCGAAGATAGATAATAAAACAGAATACTTAGAAATGATCTCGTGGCTATAAATTGTTACCAAAGTACGATAATAAAGCTTTGAATATTAAATTTAAGAAAAATCTTTATCTGACGATATTCCATTTAATCTTCTACACATTATTCAAGCTGATTATCTCGAATTAAGGAGATTTAGGTAAATAAATTTCTTATTCAATAAGAAATATAATATTTTTTTTAAATTATAGATTATTATTATTAAAATTATAATAATGAATAATAATTAATTAATAATTATATTCACAATTTTAAATAATTAATTTTATTAAATATTTTTTTTTCAATAAAATCTGGTTAATATTTATTTATTATTATTATTTTTACCATTATTATTAGGGACAAAATGATTCGCATAAACAGAAATTCGGATAATTAAAAATTCGAAATTTCGAACAAATTAACATTTCTGTATTTAAATGAAAATTCTGATCAAAGAGAATTTAATGAAAATAATTCAAACATATCGGGCAAATAAAGCGATTTGAAAAAAAAAAACCTCCAGGAAAACAAAGCGAAAATTTACGAATTTTGAACTTAAATTCAAAATCCCTGTTAATTAACGAAACAAATTAAATTCGATGAAAGAAAAATTAAATTAAATTTTCTATATAATTTCAAATGAGACAAAATCAAATATAAATAGAAGGTGGAAAAAAAAGAAGAAATTCGATTACTGCATTTACTCATGTCCCTTCGACCTTCATTATATTATATTAGTCTTAATTAATAGAATTCACTGCGGGTTGTCGGTACTTCATTTAACATTCCTCTGCAGCAATGGGTGGTTACTGGTTTACAAGTATTACTGATAATTCTCTCGCGGCAAACGTATGTACAATTAATAATGGTATGTCGCGTTTTCAAGCGAAGAGAGAAAGAGAAAGAGAGAGAGAGAGAGAAAAAGAAAGATGTGTATTCTCCTGTGATGATCCCATGGCAGAATTTAACTTTCGTTATATTTATATAGAGATGCGCGCAGGATTTCTAAGACCCCGCAAGAAGCATATATGAGCTTCGTCGTCATCGTAAAAGAGGGGCCCTAGTGGCACGTTAACTATAATTAATTACATTCCATCTGGACACTGCCTCAACTTCAAATCACCAACTGTTTGAAAAAAAAAAAAAGTTATCGCAAAAAGTAAAACAAAAAACTTTTCCCATTTTTTAATTAAAGTTTCTTTCTAATTTGAATAATTTCCAATTATTAATTAATTAATTTAGTAATATGACAGTTAAAATAGTAATAAAAAAAAAAATTATTTAATAAAATTCTTTTTTACAAATTTTAACAAAAAAAAATAAATTCTTTTGAATTTTTTTCCCTTTGGAAGTTTAAAGACGCAGTGCTAACTGAATAATCGATAATATCCGCATTCCTTCGAATTGTTTACGTAAATTCCTGATCCCTTCTTATACTTTTTTTCCCCCCTCAAAGTTTCGTCCCTATTTTAAAGTCGTTTGTGTTACTTTTTCTTCTTCGTTTTTTTTTTTAAATATTACAGTTTTAAGAGGCGGCAATTAGTCGAAGAAGAGGCAGCGCATTTCCGTGAGATTGCGACCTGATATGAAAAGAGAGAAGCGACTCTTGTTGAAAAAAGAGAAAAGTGAAATAGACGATACGGCTCATTCCAACGTTCAAAACACCTTGATCAATACTGTACAAAATGAATGTTCGATCAATTTAGAAGGTGTCAATTGATTTTTTTTTTATTATTATCTAATAAAAATATTAATAATATTTATAAAATGTATAATATTAGAAAGAATGAGAAATGCGTCATTTGAGAAAAAATAATTGGACCGTAATCTTAATTAACCCAAAGAAAGAAGCGCTTTCTTTTTTTTTTATTAAGAACTTAATTCTAACTCCATTTTTTAACTTGCCCTTAACTTTTTCTTACTGTTCCCTTAATCAGAGAAGAATTCTTTCAAAGAGAGCAATAAAGAATTTTTTTTTTTCTTTTTTAGGGTGAAATGTTAAGCTCCGGTCTTTTATTCGGATAAGAATTATGATGTCCAAAGAAAGGTCAAATGTTCTTTTACTTTAATGACTAGATCAGAAAAAAAAACAAAAAAAATTTTTAATATAATAAAAATTAAAAATTTTCATTTACTTTAAAATTAATATTTTCAAAAAAAAAAAAATCAAAATAATTTTTTTTTTTTAAATCTATGAATTAAAAAATGAAGAGATTTAATAACTTTGAAATCTTGGAATTAGAGTAGAGTAATTTGAAATTAAAAAGAGGGGGGAAAAAAAATGTACTTACGACACCGCCTCCAGCACTATGAAGAAGTAAACTTTTGCCAGGCGTGAGGTTTGCCAGCTCAAAAAGTAAAATATAAGCCACCGTGTAGTTCATGGTGATAGCTGCTGCATCCAGATAGCTCATGTCTGATGGTAAAGCAAAAACGGAAGTTGCTGGTACAGCTACAAGTTCGGCCCATGCTTTGTGGTCTGGCAAAGCGACAACTCTGTCTCCGACCTTAAAAAAAAAATTACAAAATATAGTGAAAATTGCTTCTCTAATTGCATAATTAAACTACTGCAGAGAACATAAAAAATTAAATGTAAATAAAAAAAATTATTTTAATAAAATTAAACAAATTCTTTTTTTTTTATTCTTCGTTTCAACAATCGTTTTACCAAAAAAAAAAATCAAAAATGGTTTTTACCTTTTTTTGAAAAAAAAGGGAAATTCTTTATATATATATATGTTTTCGGAACATGTGTTGAAAATTGAAAAACATTTTTCCGTTATATAAATATTAAGCGCTCGTGCCGTTGAATATGCTTTCTGAATTTCTAAAAATGAAGGGGCCATTATTAAGAGGATAAAATTTAGTTCCGGATCACGAGTCATAAATTCCGTTGGTAATCTAAACTTGCGCGTAAGCTTGGTAAAGGCTCGTTAAATTAACCCCACAAGTATTTCACCCCCCCTAAAATAGGTAGGTCGTTTACACGTGGTCGACATCTGACCTCGGGAAACCTTGGCTTTGACCCTGAGGTTTCAAAGCACCTTCACTTTTCCAGAATTAGTCATTTCCTATATAACATGTAAATTGTATACACAATAAACCTTATCTGTTGTATTGGAAAAAAAAACCAAAAAAAAAAATAGACAGTAAATAAATTATCCTATCCTGCAATGGGGTTTACAACCTCTATTCAAGTGTTTTCTTTTTTTTTTTTTTTTTTTTTAAACTCCCAAGTTTCAAGATCAAAAATAATCTCATGTTTTCCAAGTAAACGCGGTTGGCTGGTTTTAGAGATTTATAGTATTTTCTCAGTTAATGTTGAATTATGAGATTTTAATAATTCCCCCTGCGAGTATTTGTTAAAGAAAAATAATATTTTTTTTCTAATTTCCTTTAAGTGAAAAATAATTTGTATCTTTTTGTTGAAAAATAAAAATAATTTTTTTTTTTTTTTTGCTGGAAAATAAGAATATTTTTTTCTTCTTTTTTTGCTGGAAAATAAGAATATTTTTTTCTTCTTTTTTTGCTGGAAAATAAGAATATTTTTTTCTTCTTTTTTTTTGGTGGCAAAAAAGAGGAATGCAGGCCTCGGATCGACTTTAAGGCACAAAAAAAGACGTTTCAGTCGATTTATATTTCAAAAAAAAGTCGAAAAAGTCGATTTTTTATATTATAAAAAAAATTTAATTGGTTAATGAATATTTTACTTTAAATAACTATATGTTATTAGATATTAAATTTATTTGATTAATTCTGTAATGAGAATAATTCTATAAAAATATTATCAAGAAAATTTATTTCAAATATTTCACAATAAAACTAATTGTAAGAAAAATTTTCAAAATTTTATTTAAGTAGAAATAAATTTCCAAAAAAATTCTTGAAGTTACATTTTTATAATTTTTTGAAGTCTGATTTAAAGCAATTTATTCGAATTAAAAATTTTGCCATAGTTTTTAGTTTTGATGGTTAAAATAATTTCAGGCAAAAACTTAATCAAGTTTTACAGATTATTTATTAAAAAAATTTTTTTAAATAATAAAAATTTTGAAAGAGTTAAAGTTGAAATTATTAGAAATGATTGAATTTCAAAAGATTTGGTTAATTTTCAGACAATAATTAAATTTTACAGAACTAAAAATAATTTATTAAATAATTTTTTAGATAACATTTTCCAAAATGTAATTCAATTTTCAAAGATTTACAAAATTTAGATTTTTGAAATTAATTGAATTTCAAGTGATTTTTAATTTAAAATTTTTCATGATTTCTGTTACTAAAAAATTTATTAGAAATTGGAGACAAAAATACAATAATTTGAAAACTTTTTAAGTGAAAAATGATTTCAGATAGGTTGACTTTTCGAAGAATATTATTAAAAATCATTAAAAATAATTTGTTTTCACGAGAGTTATAACTGAAATTATTAAATTTCAAAAAATTTTAGAAGCTTTTAAATTGAAATTTTTGAAAATAATTGAATTTTAGTTGATTTTGAATTCAAATTTTTGAAAATAAATTAATTTTAGTTGATTATAAATTGAAAATTTTGAAAATAATGTAATTTCAATCGAAATATTGGAAAATAATTGAATTTTAATTGATTTTGAATTTAAAATTTTTAAAATTGTAATTGAATTTCTATTGAAATTTTTGAAAATAACTGAAGAATTTATTAGAAATTACACAAAAATTGAACTTTAAAATTTTTTTCATTGCAAAATGCTTTCAGATAATTGAATTTTCGAAGAATATTATAAAAATTTATTAAAAATAATTAAAATTTTAGAAATAATTTAATTTCAAGTGATTTTGAATTAAACATTTTTTGTAATTTTATTTGCTATTTTTTTAAAAATTATAAACAATTATTAAATTTCATAAAAATGTTTAATTCAAAAATAATTTAAAATAATTGAATTTGTGAAGAATTTCATTAAAATTATTAAAAATAATTAATTTAGTAAAGAATTTTAGTTAAATATTTGTTAAATAATTGAAATAAAGAAGATCTGAAATTTTGCATTGTATCCTAAAAAATTACATATTTTGTTTTAGAAATTTTGTAAAAAAAATTTTTTTAAATGTCGAAATAGTCGCATTTTATTAAAATAAGTCGAAAAAAGTTGTATTTTTGAAAAAAAAAAAAAAAAAAAAAAGTCGGTAAAAATCGAAAAAGTCGTGTAATCCGAGGCATGGCGAATGGAAAGGAAAACGAAGTTCAATGAAAACTTTCAGTCTCGTTTTCTGAGAATGAAAATCGATTATTGTTATTAAATTATAAATATAACTTACTTTGAAATTCTCAACTCCTTCGCCAACTTGTTCGATTTCTCCAGCGCATTCAGAACCCAAGATGAAGGGAGTTTTTGGTGGAGAATCAATGGCTCCTTGTCTTGCCATCAGATCTTGGAAATTCAATCCACTGAAAATATAAAAGAGAAATTAATATATATATACATCACTGACAAATAGTAATTTTGAAAATATTTTTTCTATCGAAATTCAATATTTAAAAAATATATTATATTTTACAATTAAATTTTAACTTTACTATATGAAAATTTTCTCTTAATTTTGTATTAATTTTTTTTTTTTTTTGAAGAAACAAAAATAAAAAAAATTTTTAATTCCTTCCTGTTTAGTTAACATCTTAAATTCTAATCTAAACTCATAAAAGAATGTTCAGCATCCTGTAGAAATTTTTTTTTGAGTATTTCAAGATGTTGAAAGATACGAGGATTATGTTTTCCTTTATACTGTAAATGAGATAACTTCTCTTGGTATATATATATATGATTACGATATGCATATTTACACTTCCAAAAAAAATTATTTGCTTGAAATACTATTTACTAATATTTATACCAAATAATTAATATTTGCATTAATAAAATATTTGTTTTAAATAAAAAAAAATTAATTATTTAATTATAAATTGATATAAATTTTTTTTTTGCTAATAAATTAATTTTTTTTCAGTAGAAATTTTTGTCATTGAAATAAAAAAAAAAAAGGTAATATTTTTCAAAATCAATAAATAAATATTAGAGTTTTTCCGCAGTTCCCTTATAAAATGAGGGAGAAAGTACTTGGTGGAGTTCAGGTTGGTCTTTTACAGGCGCCACTGGGCCTAGACCGACGCCTGGCGTCTCACGCAACTGGTACTGTTCGTGCATCCTTGACAATTAATTTTTATGAATGCATACAATATGCAGGTAGTATGCCTCCGACAAATGAAACTCATCGTCAAGGAATGAGGGAATCTCCACTAAGTTTTTTTTTTTTTTTTAGAGAAAAATATAACAATTATTTCAATTTTTTTTTTATATTTTCTAAATTAACAAAAAAAAAAATCTCATTTTCTTTTTTTCCGCGCCTGTACAATAAATCAACTTTCTAAAATTTGCCAAAATATAAATTTTATGACCATTGGGATAACACGACCATTCATTTCTTTTTTTTTTTCTTTTTTTTTTCAAACGAGATTTTGGGATTTAGATACAAAAACGAGAGATGACAAAATAGTTTTCTCTTCGGTTTATAACAATGAAGTGAGCAGGACAATTGTAAAGAATGGTTTTCCGGGAAGAGAACGTTTTGTAGAGAAATATCTTTTCCTGGAAATAACCACATCGAACAATTAAAATCTGTTTCGTGGGTGTTGAACCGTTCAACAACCAGAAATTATTGTTTGAGGAAATGAGTGTCGCAAGCCTATATTCGTCAATTTCCTATAATAGTTAATATTTCATTCTCAAACTAATTTCAAATGAAACAAAGACCTAAATAACTAAACTCAATATTTCAAAAAATAAACTCAAATATTTACAATTATTTACTAATAAGTTTCATATTTTTTATATTGTATAATTTACTATCCCATTGAAAATATAATATTTCCAAAAATCTATCTTTGGAGTTTTCAAAGTGGACAAAAAAAAGAGATCAAAAAATTGATCGCAAAAGACATTCTTTTTCAAGAGAGAGAGAAAAAAAAAGAGGTGTGAAAAGTATTAGTGTCAAGTGTAAAAGAAAAATATTGCCTGTGCATTGAAGCGTTCACTTTGTTAACTTGATTCAATGACTCATTGCGACAAATTGTATGGACTAAGCAATGACTTCTCCTCAGGAAGTTACAATATTGATTAAAGAGATTCCAAAGCTCTTATACGTGAGCGAAATTATGTCTATTAAAAAAAAAAAATGGAATGCAAGATCAAAAAAAAAAATATCTAGAAAAATTTAAATATAAAAGAATTAAATTAAAAAGAAACAATTTCCAAGTGAAAAAATTAATAAATATAAAAAAGCGATTCAAATCTAATTTTATCATTAAATGAATCAGAATTTCGAAAATAGAAAAAAAGAATTCCTTGCAATATTTTATAGATCACGAAATAATTAATGTATATATACATATGTAAACGATGAATCAGTGTTGATTTTTTTTTATATACAACCACATGAATGGAAGGATCAATTGATGCGTTACAGGAATCTCGAGAAAGATACATGCTTAATCATATATCATTGGTATGAAATTGCGCAGATTGCTTCTAATCGTAGCAACTTAAAAAGAAGCAGCAAAGGAGCACCCAGTCAAGTGGCTTCATCTCAAAGCAAACGATTGATCTTTCAAATCAACTTTAATATACAGACCAATAATATTATTATTGACTTCGCATCAAATTATTATTATTATTATTATTATTATTATTATTATTATTATTTCCAAACAGAATGATTTGAACGAATTTTCAAATTCAAAAATAAATTTAAAGAGAAATTCTATTACAATAATAGAAAAGAAAAAATTTTGACTAAAAATAAATTCTTAAAAAATCATACAAAAATGTCTGACTGTATATTACACCTAAAAAAATGATTTATTTGAATCAAATAAAATATATTTGAATTAAATAAACGTATATTTGTCTCAGAGCCTACTAACTTATTTATTTGGCGTAAATAAAAATTTTTATATGTCATAAATAAATTTTTCTTTGGCTTAAATAAATTTTTTATTTAAATGAAATAAAATATATTTGCAACAAATAAATGAGTTAGTAGGCTCGGAGACAAATATACCATTTCTTTATAGTTATGAAAAAATATAAACGCAGTGAAACTTAATAAGAAAAAAAAAATAATTTAAAAACAAATTTTTTTTTCTTTCAAAAATAATAAAAAATTGAAAAGGCAAAGAAAAATCGAGGAGGCCTAGGTCTAGGTCATTGAGGAAATTTGATGACTCGAGAAAAATTCCTAGTAATATAAGTGAATGCTTGAAGCAACCCAAGTGCATTATCTCAAGTTGACCAGGGGTCTTAATTCTTTTAAATTACGTTAAATTGAGAGGAATAATTTTCTCTATATTCGTGTCGGGCAATTGAACGCGCGCGAATCAATGTTGATGACACGCAATATACATGTACGTATTATTATAATAATACACGCACCCAAGAGCGAATCTTGTGCGTATCGTCACTTTCTACAACTGTACAACAAAAGGTTCTAAATTCACATTACTTACTGTGTGCTTACATATATCGATCGTGAGACATTCGAGACATCAAGGCGCCCATCCTACACACACATATATATATATATATATATATATATAAATATATTATTATCAAAACACTAAAAGATGTCTTGATCTCGCGTGACTTAACAAACTACTCCGTTTTTTTTTCAGTACAATGACTCTCAATAATATTAATATATAAATTTCCGAGAAATTAATAACATTTTTAACATATTTAACTTTTTCAAAAGATGCTGGCGAGTGAAAACATTTTTCATTTTTACAAAATTTTATGGAAAAAAATATTTCAAATTAAAATAATAATCCATTCGGAAATATTAATTAAAATTTTAATTCCTAATATAACTCATTAAAATGTTTTACGAGAATATTACAAAAACAGAGAAAATTTATATAATATTTTTTGCAGTTATAATAAAAATATAACTTTACTTTTCCATTAAAAACGAAATGAAAATTAAATTAAAAAAAAAAAAAAAAAAAAAAAAAAATGTATTCACATTTTATATTGTAAAAGTTCGTTTAACTTTATTATTTGATATTTTTATGCCCTTTTGTTGAAAATTTTATATAAAACGCTGGAAAATTTTTATTCAAAAATTTTTCATAATTGTGTAAAAATAATTATTTCAATAATAATAATGATAATAATAATAATAATAATAATAATAATAATAATCTTTTATGATTCAAAATGAAATAGTAATTAATAAAAATAAATACTATATTATAATTAATCTTTATAATAAAAATTTTTTAAAATAAAAAAAAAAAATTACTCCAAAAAAATAAAATACCAAAATTTAAATAATATATATAAATAAAATAAATACAATTCAACAAATAAAATATAACCAATTTCGTTACAAAATTCAGGAAAAATAATTGAACGATTTTATAATATTGATAATAAATTAAAAATTTATAAGGAATCGAGTACTAGAAAAAAGTTTTAAAGTTTAAATAATTATTTTTAGCAGCATAAATAATCCAATCTCTCCCTCTCTCTCTCTCTTTCTCTGCGGGTCAAGAGAAATGGGTGGGGGAGAGATGGTAAAAGGAAAATTGGTATCGCGTTAAGTTGCATTAAATCGAGTATATACAGGGTGATTTTTATGTTCCGGACCCCCAAAATATCTTGAAAGGAAATAGTTTTTGAGAAAAATGTTGTATACAAAAGTTGTCAGGTTGAAAAAAATCTATTAAATTGAATAATTAAAAAACGGGCCCAGGGCCTTATGTGGGCCCTACAGACAAAAAAGTAAATTTTTTAAATGGAACCAAGTATTTTCAAACTCAGATTCTTGTAGCCAGTGATTTCCTCTTTTCAGACATGTGGTAACTTGTGGGCCCAAAGTTAAATTTGGGCCCAAAATTCGATTTTTTGTGGTTTTAAAGGTGATTTTAGTGTAACTTAGTTCCAAGGGGTTTTTGGTGTCCCTGATTACGAATCTGAAATCAGTTTTTAAAAATTTTTAATAACGGACCCAGAATGACTGATTAAATATGAAAAAAATGAAGGAAAATAATGAAACTTCTTATTTTAGACTTATTTAGCCTTCTAATTGTTAATTCAATTTTACTTTTATTGCTTTTAAATTAGTATCATAAACCTTGGGGTAAAAAATTAGATTTTTACCAATTTTAATATTTAGGGGCTTATAAGGCCCAAAATTAGATTTTCAGTAGTTTTAAAAGTTATTTTGTGTGACTTATTTCCAAGGGGTCTTTGTAGTCCCTGATTAAAAATCGGACATCAGTTTTTAAAAAATCAAAAAAGTGGACCCAAAAAGACTGATTAAAAATGAAAAACACTGAAAATTTTTTTTTTAATTTTCTCTATGTAATTTGCAACAATGTCCAAAAAATTTTGG